GAAGAAATTCAAGATATAATATATTTTTTCCAACTTATTTATTCTACGCGAATATTTTGGATATAAAATATCGAAATTCGAATAGCAATGATACAAACTATTATATCTTTTGAAAAGATATCCAAATCGTAATGTATTTCTAAATTTTTTGATAGTCCCTGAACAATCACCGAAGAAGATCCTATAAAAATAATTCCCAAATCCAGCCATGCCCCCAAATAATGACATCCAAAATTTTTCCCAAATAAATGTAATACGAAATGGACACATATTATCCGTCACGAATTCGAAGAAACCTTTCCCCGAGAGAACGCAAATCTCAAGCACAAATTCCTTTCTAGTTTTTATAGCCTTCCACATACACCAAAATCATACCAATCACCATATAAACGCAACGAAACGATGCATCTACGTCATCATACTTTGTTTTAGTATCTCGACATACACGAAAACCATGTCAAATATCATCTAAACGTAACGAAACGCCGCATCCACATCACGAAAATCAGATATAACACCATCTAGACGCAACGAAAAGCTGCGGCAATGACATCCTCACTCCCACAAATTCTGCCTCGTTAATCTTCGAGCCATCCACACCCGACAACCGCACACCTTTTGGCGGCACAAGGCGCGGCCTCGTCAGCTGCATAAGGTTCGCGAAAGTAGTGCGTAAGCTAGGGTCGTCATTTCCAGTCCCGAGAGTTCAAACAATAGTACTATATACACCGCGGCATCCCTTCCCCAAATGCACGCATAAATTTTACAATTTCCAAAAGCAACGAATTCATTGCGAAATCAATATGGAAAGAACGCTTAGTGACTACAACGATCCAAATAGATTAGTGGCGACAAGGGCGGTTGGGAGCATGGGCCCCTATAGATCCTACGGACTCTCTACGGGCCTATAGCCTCCGGGCCCTGGCCTCTGAGGAGACCAAGCCCTAAATTTGAAATTCGTAGGTTTACATATATATATATATATATATATATATTTGTTTACTTATTATTTACTTATGCATTTACTTCTTCATATGTATGTCATTGAAAAAGTTATTGCCGCTGCATCACTCGCGGATCATATTATGTCCGCAATCTCTGACATAATGATGTGACGCACTCCGCGTCTCATGCCCGAGTCACGTTTGCATGGATATATGCGGCATACCGCAGATTCCACGGAAAGAGCTCGCAGACGCTAAATCAACTGCTGAAATCAGCCAAATTCAGATTGCAGATTCCAGATCTCACCCGCTTGCCCACTCACTCACTTCACTCCTCGTACTCGAAATCCAAACTCGCTGGTACTTACCACACGGGCCCAAGCAAATATGCAGATGAAACTCTTTCAAATCAATCGCCCTTCGTCTTGCGAGTGACTACATGGATGTAGACCTGGCACCGATGCGCATGCCACACCTCTTGTGAAATTGTCATCTCTCTTGCGCTGCACTCGTTGCAAACAGATGCCTCTTCCAGTCCACATGGATCGAAGTCTTTGTCCTCCTCCACTTGCTGGACCTGCATGAGCACAGCTGTTTCGAGAACCATACCCGACGCTCCCATTGGGCTTTCCTGCGAGCATGCGGCGGGAGCAGTTAGACTGTAGACCTCGGCGCCCCCCTGCTGAGAGCCTCGAAAAGTTTGCTGTCATCGACAATGGCGAAGAAGTTCCAAGAAAATGGTCGGTTGATAAAGACCTGAGGCTGCAACACTTGGATTTCAAGTAACCCCTACCTACTCGATTCAATGAGTCGGGTCAGGGGGGGCGGGCGGGGGGGGGAGCGGGGGGGGGGGTGGGGGGGGGCGGGGCGCGGGGCGGGCGCGGTGGGGGGGGGGGGTGGGGGGGCGGGGGGGGGGGGGGGGGGGGGGGGCAATCGACAATTTTTTGCGTTTCTAAAGGCATGGGAGGGCGTGAGAAGGCTTAGGGTGGAAGGCTTGTATTAAAGTGCAAAACTTGAAGCTCGACCTCGAAGTTGGGCTTCTTGAGATTTCCAGGTTCAGGCTCGAGGGCAGGGCTGCTCTAGCTCGAGCTCGTATCTGCCTGACCCTTTAAGAAGACAAGCGCTTGCGCCGGACGTTGTCTCTCCACTTCGATTAAGGTGCCGGAGCTTCCAAAGCAAGTTTGCATCGGATTTGCCTCTCCAGAAGCATGGGCTTGAAACACGAGTGCTGCCTCGTTTGGGATTTGGGTTATTCATCGAGGGCGGTGTTGTGAATTGAGGGGGTGGTTAGATTAAAACCCCGTGCTGGGCAGTGCTGAGGAGGTCGCCGAGTAGATGACAGTGTCTGGGCCACAGAAACGGTCCCAGGTCCAAAGCAACAGGTCATGAGTCTCCTGGTCGGATTCTGAGAAGCTACAGGTTCTCTGTCAAATAAGAATAACAGCAATAAGAATAACAATAATAATAATCATTATAATCTGCTGTCTTGCATTTTTCTGTCAATCCAAAGTCGCATTCTCCCCAGGCTGCATCAATCTTCGGGTTTCAGATCGACGCGAGTCAGTGGGACTGTTGCCAGTGTGACACATCTACCTATACACTGTTCATACGCATGCGATTGAACACAGTCCCACTACCTTATGTACACATGACGAGAATGGTTCAGTTCTGGCTCTCACCCCAGAAGCTCACACCTTAGCCCATGTCTGGACTCTCATTTGCACCCATCCAGAGAGCTTTACGGATTCTGCCTGTGGCACGACTCTTTCAAGGCGACTTCTGAAAGACTCTCGCAAAGACTCTGCAGACTCGCAAGGCCGGAGCTCGCTGTCATCCCCGGCCGGCACTGCCAATGCATGTTCTTGCTTGATGATGTCCGCATGTTGCAGGGCTGCAGTCAAAAGAATGGCCTGCTGGGCACAAGCGCTTCGCGGGAGGTTCTACCTGCAAGCCGAACATGATATATTACGATTGCAAACAGCCTTGCCAGCTACCAGAGTGGAGACAGCTTAGGATTCGGCAGAGATGTCCTCAAAGTGTCTGTTCACGTGGGCATCTGCTTCTGCCTGAGTACAAGTGTGAGTTTGGATTTTGCATGCCAGCCAAGCCCCCAAGCCTACAGTCGGGTAAACAACCCTACATCATACAAATCATTCACTCATTTTCGAGCTTAACGTTGTGCTTGACCAAAGACTTTGAACAGGAAGCCAGGGCCAAGCCACCGGGAGTGGAAGCTCCATGGCTATGTCGATGAAAAAACCAAACTACTATAGGCACTCTGAGAGGCTGACTCTGCTGATGAGCTTCGAGCACACGGGACATTCGACGCAGTCGTCGACGTGAGGCTCCTGCCACTGGTTCTTTTCTTCAATACTCTGAACTCTGGATGCCCTTTCCGGCACCTGCTCGGAGGCTTCCAGATCCACAACCTCAAAGCATCCCAATTCGCCCTCTCACTCTGTGCAACCGCGGCGAGATTCTGTGGAACCGGCGATCGTGGAATCTGCAGCCTGTGTTGTTGAAGTGGTGGACGGCTGAGGCGCCTCATGCTACACTGCGCAGTTTTGGCATGTCAAGGCCAGTGCACTCCAGTAGGTTGTCCTCGGCCGGTCCCCGCTTCAACCACCTGTCACACACAAGCACCGCTAGTACCGCTTCATGCTCAGTAGGACTCTGTGAATCTCTGTGAGATGCAACGAAATTGGCAGATCGCCAATTGGACTGTTGATATACTGATACTGGTATCAATGAAGGAATGAATCGGAGTAAGCCTTGCAGGACCCGGTGCGTTGCCCAGATGCTGCCCCATGCCTGGTCAAGCTGGAGGTGCCCGCAGCTGCTTTCTGAGGGCTGCCTTGGTGGCTACTTGACACGCTCGGTTACATAGTTGCTCTGCTGATGTGGCCCCATGGACTTCGTCAAGCAGCTGACATCTACAGAATCTCTACAAGCTGAACACATGCTTAGGCAGCAACGTGAGCTCGAGCTCACAGTTCCTCTGCGTCGCTGCTGCCGTGCAAAGACACCATTTGTTGTGCACAGCGTGCTAAGGCTGGTGCCAAGCTTAGCAGCAAGGCCGACTCCCCGTAGCCTGACCTCGCTCGTAGTATTCTGGACAGTTGAAGATTCATGCCGGTGCACGAAGCTCTATACCGGCCCATCCGTCTCCTCTGAAAGGACCGAGACTTGCTGACATCCGAGGCGCTGGGTCCGGAGACAAGGTATCGAACAGGTGCTGCGCGGTCCTGTCAGAGCTCCGTCGGTTTGTCGCGAAGGATGATGGCTGCTTCCCCTGCGTTACTGTGCTGTGTAGCATTAGTTTGCATGTTCATGATTCATGATGCTTAGAATGATCAGCCTGCAAGTACGACGATGGATGTCCCTCCCTTGCACGCCCTTGCATGCCTGAGCAGCACGCTGGGCTCCTTGGCAGTACTGCAGTGCACCACTGTTTCATGCTTCGCTCTGCGGCCTTAATTTGGGTCAACTTTCGAGTGCTTCCGAGCTGCATTGCTTGCATCAGGCAGGGGCGCAGAACGACTCACATCATCGCACTGCCCGTGGCCACCTCTCTTGATGGGCTCCACCTGCGCTCCAAACAAAGCTTTAAGCACTTGGCCACTCTGCTTAATGACTGTGGAACCCACCCAGCCAGGCACGGCAATCTTGAGCTTCAGAGTCAGGTGAATGGCGCCTGCATCAGGAACCAAGCCTTTTTAGGCACACCGCCATGAGCCACCCATCACAGAAAACGAGGGCTCTGCTTTACAACCTATGATTTGACATGTGCACAGCCCATCGTCTGTGGCAAGGGCGTAGATCACTGGCAAGGAGTCGTTCAGAAAGCTGCTGCGAGACCTGATTGGGTTCGGTCACTCGGAACTCGGAAGAAGGACGAGTTGTTTGCCAGTCAAGGTTGTACATACAGTAGAAGCCATGCGCGGTGACCATGGTCAGGCACCTCTGTCAGGATCTTTACGGCAGCAGAACGGTCTTGACATCGTATGCCCCAGTTCCTGGGTTGCCATTTGAACTTTGCATCTCTTGAATGTTGCAACCTAAGCTCTGAAGCTTCTTTTCAGTTGCAGCTGCCTTTCCTTTGCAACTCCATCACGTGCGACCAAGTCGCATCTCAGCACTGACAGACCTGGGAAAGCAGGTCAGCTCGGCAGAAGCTCTTAATAAACGGCTCTCCAAGTTCGCGACTTCCTTTGTGCAGGGGCTGGGCTCACCTCCTGGGTCGCAGAAAAGGCTATGAATGGGATTCAACGGGTGAAGTTCGCCCACAAGAGTTCGAATTCTGCGCCTGGTCGAGGCCCTGTGCATTGAGCCAAAGTGTCTCGCCTTTAGCTCCAAACCTGCGCCCCGTCAAGCTCATAAGCTACTGAGGAGAGGGACGTAAGATTTGCAAAGAGACCTGAGTCTCGTTGTGTTGGGCGGGATCGATGATCCTTCTGTTTGCTTGTCACATACCTCCTGCCGCTGCTGCTACTGCTGCAAAGGCGAGACGGCGAGATCCCTACAAGGAAATTGCCGGAGTGCTCCGTGGGCATGGTGTATGCTGTATGAGTAGTGAGCTGTTGTAGAGTTGTGTGCAGCCAAGTATCCATTCACGCAGCCGTCCCTGCCTGACTGTCCGACGCGGCTCAAAGCCGTGAATGGGCCAAGGAATACTGTACACCTGCACACGTACTGCCCTCATGCCGATCCAAAACCAAGGTGGCCACTCCAAGGATTGGATATCGCGGCAGCTTTCCAGACCACGCTCCTGTCAATGGTGGCCGTGTCATCCCCTACAGTAAAAGCAATTTATGAATTGAAGCGCTGCCAGCTGTGACTTGCCTTACCATTCGGCGCACTCTCAGGCATGCACTACCGGGCAACAAATCGCATTCCTTCGGCTTAGGCTTTCTCAGTGCCGTGCCTGCAGCTTTGCGGACATAGCATGCCCAACCTGCGGGCCACTCGGCATGTTGGATGGTGATAGCAGCACATCTTGTGGGGCATGGCGGCGCTTTTTTGTAGCAGCGTGTCTCTGCGACTCGAAGCGACTCGAGGCGGTTGCCAGGCGTTGTCCATGTGCGATCCAGCAAAGCAGGTGCCTTTTCCATCCTTCTCTATCCTTGTCCCCCTTCACCTCCAAGTTCGAGCGACCATGCATGCAAACTCGAGATGAGCCACCCCTCATTGCCAAACAATGGCGAAACCGTCCAATCTGACGTGAGGCACATCCTCAACCCAAGAGGGCTTCTTGGGCTTGACGGCACCGAATGGCCGGAGCTCGTGTTCAGGCTCCGCCCAATTCACCTCGCTGTATTCCACTTCCTCCTCCATTGGCTGATTGCCGGAATCCATTTGCGGAGTTACTTGACGAAGGCGGGTACGTACAGGTCGCGCGCCTGTCGCGGCGCAAAACTCAAGAGACAGTCTTTGTTCATCCTCCCCGTGTAGCAATGAGTCTAGCAATGAGTCTGCACTGAAGCCTCCGCCGCAGTCACGTAAGAAGAGTTGGCCTGCACATGTTGCTTTGCGCCCAGAACTGCATGTGCTGCGGAGGAAAACATCTGTACTTTGCATTACTTTGCACAACAGCTGCTCAGCTGCTGGCTTCTGCACGCAGCCCCCGAAGCCTCACAGGGTGTTTTTTCAATCTCACAAGAAACCCACAAAATGCCCATTCCCTATGTTTCTCACATGAGTGTATGCCAAGCCTCGCCAGGCTTAGCTCCGTGAACAACGGTGCAATCTGCTTCTGCAGCAGGTCAACAGTGGAAGTCCTGCGGGAATGTGCTCGATTGCGCGCCTCAACATCGTCTTGCAGAAAGTATGAAGCTTGCTTTCTTGTATGTTGTTGCGGATACCATCGGTGCGATTCAGTCTTGCAGGTCTCCTGTGAGACACAGCATATTGCACAGTCACACCCCCAGAGCACAGGACGCGATAGAACCTGCTCAGCGCATGTCAGATGATACATCAGCTGCCCATCTAACGCAGCCGCCGCAAACTCGAGAGCAGAGGCTGCGACTGCAGTGCTTCGAATACGCACACCGGCAGGCCCCAGTTTTCGAAGCGTTGTTGCTCTCCAATGTACCTAGATCTGATGAAATCTGATGCAAACTGGAGGTCAGGAGTGGGAGGTAATGACATGTGAACACATCGAACTCAAATGCCCGTCTGGCCTGGGACTGATGTTCAATGGGTCATAGAACAGCAGGTTGTATGCTTCTGCTGGGAGTTCTGGCAGAATCCTGGACGGCACAAAGCCAGCAACGTGCATCTGACATCAACTTCACATCCTCAATCTGTAAATGAACCTGCAACCCAGAAAATCATCATCAACTTCATTTTCCAAGGCTCTTCTGCCAGGGCCCCTCGTGAACCCGGACGTTCTTGACAATGCCCTGACAAGGACTCCAGCAGATTTTGTACATTTTGTTTGCTTTGCCTGCCCGCAGTGCAAAATTAAACCAGTCCCTGAAATTTGACGGCTCAAGCTGGGCATGCCAATTGCAGATTGTTGCATGTCACGCGTGACAAGTCGGCATCGGAGACACTCCATCTCCATGCGCAGAAAGTAAAGATTTTTTGTCGTGTCTTCCAGCCTTCTTCCTTGTCTGGGCCTCTCGGCGAGCATCGGCAGCTACGGTCGGGTGCAGCTCCACGACTTCATACTCGACGTGTAGTTCCGGTAGGCTGACTCCTCAACTCCAGTCTCGGAGGCTCTATACATATGGACAAATCTATCTTCACATATTGTACAAGAGATCATATGCATTGCTCTAGAAACATATTGTTGAAAAGAGATTGGATATAAGGAGCCCCGTGGATTAATTAGCGCCGGAAGACCGTCCTACGCCGATGCCCGCCCTAAACCCTAAACAAAGCAGAGTCGATTCAGGCTGATTCCATACGTCCGCTACACACAAGTGGGGAAGTCATGATCCGATCGTGCAGCCAAGCGTGGTCTTGAAGGGCTCGCAAGCAGTCCTGCACGCTCCGCGTTGTCCATCAGCCGGCGCCCGCTGATTCCCTTCGCGAGGCTGTATGCAAGGTTTTTGATGCTTCTCTACATCTCTCCCGTCTCAGAGGCTGAGAGAATGACCGAGCCCGGCTACTGGGATTTCCGTGCCCCGCCTGGCCCCAGCCAACTTCTAGGATCCGTAACCGAGACTGCCCACTCTGACGCACGTGGCGCAGTGCCAAATCGAAGCCCGCGTCCGCCAGGGCAAACATGTATGGCCACTCCCAATCCTGCTTGCACTTGGTTTAGCAAACTTCGGCAAATGCTTGATCTCCACACAACCACAACCCGTGCCTGCATGAGCTGAATCTGGCCGGTCGCCCCGCCTTTGAGATGCAGGTGTTGCCCAAAGGATTGCTGTGGCCCCAGGACTCCCTTGGGTGCATTCTCGATCAGAAGCTGTGTGAACATTGACCACATCTTCTCCTCCGAGGCTTTCTCAAGCTAGCCGCTAGCATTCCAGTGAAAGCTCAGCATAGCTCAACTGCCAGAATTCTCAAGCCGAACGACTCCTCTTGAACACTGAATGATCATATGCACAGTGTGCATTCCAGGAACACTGCGTGAGCTCTGCATGGCTCCTCCTGTGGAGTGATGGTCATTTTCTGGAGGCATGAGGCGACCAAGGAGATCAACTCCATGAAGTGCTGCTTCCTCTCGACGGCTCGTCCCGGCCGGGTCCCCAGCTTCAGCAAGTTCAGCAGGTCTCCTGGGCTCTGGAAAAAACGTGAGAGAGAACTTTGAGAGAATATCGGGAACCGCCCCTAAATACAGTCATGTATTTGTCTTTCCTTTTCTCAGTTCAGCTGCAGGCCCGCCGAGATTCGACCGATCCGTCGCCGAGGAAAGCAGAAGGTCGACTCTGGCCGGTGCCGCATGCCAAGATTCTCTGCGGAGGTCGCCAACTCAGCAGACCTAAGCAGAGCAAAGCGAAGAAGTAGCACGCTGCCACACCTGCCCATCCGAGCACAGTTCTGCAAACCGGGCGCATGCAGGACAGACCATCATGGACCAGTGCCGTCGCAAGCGCGCAGTCATTGTGTGTATCGGGGGCCAAGTGATCTGCTGCGTCAGAAGCCCATACTGCAAGTCCTCCGCCGTAGCATGACATGCTGTCCATGTGGCCTTATTTGTCAGGTGGTGTGGGCCTGGCTCATCAACAAAGCTGCTTACAAGCGAGAAACTCGCCTGCCAAATTCTCTCGTTGCGACTTGCACCACTATTCCAGAATGCTTGGTGAGGGCCTAGCGGGTTGACTAGAGCATCAAATCTTATCTGTGTAGGTCGTATGGTGTGCAGGGCAGAGCTCACAAATCTTCAGCATTCTTCAGCGCTGCCGTCGGAAAGGTTCAGCTGCATTCCAGCGACCTCTTACGCATCCTCAAGAGCTGTGTCAGGGATATCCCTGTGTCCTTGATGTACCCGCTGCCAAGCCGATAGTAGCGCCGCGGCGGTGTTGGTCGATACCTCCTGAACCGAGTAGGTCCCTTTCAGGCCCTGCTGGAATCCTGCCAAAGCTGGCAGATGCTGGCCAAAGCTTGAATCTCCCAGCGATTAACTGAGCACTGCCAACTGACTGCTGGGAACCTCAAAGATCACCAGGATCACCAGGTCCTGTGCGCGGTGCTGCCCAAAAGGCTCCGCCCTGCCTCTGAGCCATTGAGACAGGTTGAATGCTGGATGCGGTGCTCCAGGGAGCGGGATGATAAACAAACATATTGGATCTAAAGCTGGCTGTGTGATGCTTCTGTCAATGTGACACGGACTTGCCCGCCGTCTCATCAGATCTCAGCTTGACTTGAGATACAGCTCGCTCAACAAGCATCCAGCTTCCACCCTGCTCTTCCTGACCTTCGTGTGCTACTACATGAGTTGAAGACAAGGAGACAGGCATGCAGAGCTTTTGCGGCACGCGTAGAAGGCGCTGCTAGCAAGCGCTACGTTCGTGATGAGTGGTGTGTGGAGCTCAAAATGCAGATCTTCACTTTGCCATGCTGCAGGTCTAGAGTCTTTACTAGTACGATAATTGTGATGCGAAGCTCTGAGTCCCGGAATATCCGAGATCCTTCTTTGGAGCTGCAGAGCCAGACTTGTCTTCACCGGCCGATTGACCTGAAGAAGCAACTTCGGCGAAGAACTTCCGCGAAGCTCGATCTCGAAAGACAACTCTGCAAACGGAATTTGCGGAATGCGCCACGAAGCAAAACAACAGTTTTGCCCAGACAATCTAGGGCACGTCCTCTTTCTGTCTGCCAATTCGGCGGCCCAGGTAGGCTGCAAAGGACCGCGGGTATACTCAGCTCCTCATTCTTGCCAAAACAGCCGTCTAGCGGAGGGAGGTGTCGACACTTGCACTCCAACTGTGCGCTTCGCAAGATGTGCTTGCAGGCTTCAAAAGGCTGCTACGGTAATCATGGACATGAAATGTCTCCTGCGATCACGCCCTGGTTCGCACCAGATCCGGTTCCTCCGTACCCGGACCGCGCCAGTTTGAAAGGATTCCTGATGAAACGCTGAGCAGACAGTGGGCAGTGGCGGAAAGCCCTGCTGTGCTGCCAAGCCACGCCGCTTTGTTCTCGTGGAGCCGAACTTCTTGCTGGGGAGTTTTGGAGTCCTACACATCCAAAGTGGGATTTAACACACAATAAGTCTTATAATGGTCTACATCTTTACAAAACGGTGGCACCTGTGCAGGCTCTTGTTGCCCTTGCAGATGCGCAATCAGCGGGGCGCCTCATTTTCTGAACGTAGCCGAGCACCACGGTGTGGTGACATGCTGTGACACATTGTGATCATATGAAGTTTATCTTTTGACGTATGACAAGTACCGGTCTAGCCTAATCATAAGCGAATTTGGCTCCGATCTTCCGAGTCCCCCTTTCTGGACTTCTCAGGCCGTGGCTCCGTGGCATGGCTAGAACACGCGGCGCTGTGGAGAAGGCCTTCTGAGTGGGCACCGTCGCATTCCGCCTGCAACACAGCAAGGGCCAACACGTATAAAGTGATGCGTACATAGTGAGCAGCAAGGTGTATGAGAGACCGAGAACCGCATCATAATGTGTCCCGTCTTGCCCTCAACCGTGACAACCTCCTACCCTCAACCCTCAGCTTCTGTCCCCACTGTCTCCAGCTGATACTGCTCTCTGATCTGGTTTTGACTTTCTGAGCTGGAGCCGACAGTGTCCCGCAAAGCACTTGCCTCAGGTCAGGTCCTTGTGGATCCATAGCAACTCAGAGAGAGGGAGTGGGGGCTTGGGACCCTCGAGCCCAACGTCTGCGTCACTATTCCCTGCCACTGTGCCTTCCACTGGGCTGATCTGGGCTGTGCAATTCGATTTGGTCAAAACTAGTCAATAGCAGCTGCCTGGGGCATGTCTCTCAGTGGCAGATCAGCCAGGAAAGGCTTCACCTGGATGGCTGGATGGGTTCCCACCAGTCAGCTCAAGCTGCACATCGTGAACTGAAGTGCAGTGCTTAGTGACATGCTAGGGCGCTTCCACATGATAGGATGTTGCATCTGTTGACCAGTATTGCCTCCTCCTGCAATATCCTCCGCACTCCGTTTGGCTTGCATGCCTGAGGCGCATACTGTCGGTCCCTATGCAAAGCAGATGTGGCATCTTCCACGCGCGCCTTTGTCGCGAGCTTTGCGACAAGCTGGGTTGGCCCGATGCCAACGCTGCAGGTGCAGCCTGAGGCCAGGTGAGCTGCAACTTTAGCGATTTTAGTGGGCGAGGGTGGCCACTGGTGGCCTGTCTGCAAGCGAACAGAGCTGCGGAGGGCTTCAGCCCATGCCACAGGATCCTGCCAGGCAGGCTATCTCGGCTATCTCAGTCAGCCATGTTTGCAGCTTGTATCAGGCTTCCCCGACTCTTACCAAGACCGCTGCCGGTATTGCTTTCACCAGCAATGCCTGGGATAACTTTCCGCTACGGATCTGTCATGATTCGCTGCGGCTATCGTCTGATGTTCTAAGGCTGAGGGCAGCTTCGTCACAAGATCTCATGAAGACATGATCTGGCTCGTCGCCGCAGGCCACCACCTCGACAGCCCGATGTGAACAACTTGGAGCAAACGCACCGTAGGGCCAACTCGGCTTGCGGCTAGTAGCTGATATACCTGCAGAAGGCTGATAACAACCAGAGGAGCTTTTGCTACACTTGCTCACTGCCACCTTCTTCCACGTCTCTTCAACCTCGGACATGACTCATGACACGCATGAGGATATGGTGCACCAAGCTTAGGCTTGTACCGAGCGAAGCAGCTCAGATGATATGGGAACCAGCCGAAGCCTGACATCATTTCAACGTGTGGGGTCCCATGCCGAATCGGTCGCTGCACGCCCCCTCGGGTAAAAACGTTGGAAGAACCGCTCGAGCACGCTCAACCTAAGAATGCGGAGTGATTCGTTGCTGCAGACCCACTCGATGATATGCGAGGAACAGAGTTCAATATACTGACAGGGATGGAGACTCTAGTGCGGAAGGCCCCATTGGGATGAACCTTCGCAACATGCAACAAGTCTCAGGGCTCCACAGACCAGAGATGCGTGTTCACCTGATGGCAAAAGTCAAGAACAGACAAAGTCTTGCCTTCCGCAGTCAGCCAAGAGAAATGCCACAAATTACGCCTGAGGAGCCGACCCCAGCACGGCGAGCAGCGTAGTTCCTACATGCATGGGGCGTCACCCAGGTATCGACACACTGGAGAAGGGGGACTCAGTTCTAATCACCACAGAGATCCCAAAGCACCGCTACTGCAGGCAAAGTGCGCTGAGCAGATCTCAGAGCTGGCGCCGAGGCCAGAGACCACAGCAGTGGGTACCTGAACATATGCAACAGTTAGTGTCATATCTGCAATATAGCCATATGTACATAGGTGCATATGTATATCCGTATATATATGTATATATGTATTTATGTGTATATATGTATCTATGTATATATGTATCTATGTATATATGTTACATGTATACATGTATACATGTAAATATGTATATATGTATATATGTATATATGGATATATGTATATATGTATAATAGTATATATGTATATATGTATATATGTATACACACACACCCCATGACCTGCCGTCTTCTGAAAACGTCGTACGTAAACACCGTTTGAAGCCCACTTGTTCAATGTACAGATGTTCTAGTCTGAATAACTGCATGTAGGATATGTGAATTCCACCGTGAAGACAAGAATCTTGCTTGGACCTGACGACAGCGATACCAGCAACACCAGCAAACCACTTTTTCAGAGCAATGGAACGGAAAGTTGTTTTTCTTGGGGGTTTCCTTGTAGAAAGACAGCTGGGAGAAACTTGGTTTTGGTCAGAAACCCATCTTGTACTAGAGGAAAGATGGCTTTGGCAGCAAACCATCCTTGGACTAGGAAATCTTAAATGAATCAACTTTTTCGGGATCCTCCCCAATGCTCTGAAAAAGCTGCGAAAACACAAACTTTTCCCAAGCAAAAAGTTTGGTCTGGTCAGAAAACCCATCCTTCTTAGCCATGGAAAAGATGGCTTTCGCAAGAAAGCCCACAGATGGTTTTATGACAAACTTTTTTACTACGGAAAAGTTGGCACCCAGAAGTTCGCATTCTGTTTCTTTACATTGACCGTGCAGTGACTACCCCCAAACCAACATGATAGGACTTAAAGCAACGCATTATCATTCAGTATTCAAAGTAGAATGAGGCCAGTGCCTGAGGTGAGGCAGCGTGGCTGTGCAGCCACGAAAAATGACGAGGATGCCGCGAATGCACGAGTGCCCCAGTAGCTGCCGTTCATTGTTTGCGGGCATAGTGCTCTCTGTGGGAGTTCAGCATTTTATTATGTCTGTCGGTTGGAATGTGTTGCGGGGAGGGGGGGGGGGGCGGGGAGATAAGCATCGGCCCATACAATCCCACATATATATATATATATAGAGAGAGAGAGAGGGAAAGAGAGAAAGAGAGAGAGAGAGAGAGAGTGAAGGAAGGAAGGAAGGAAGGAAGGAAGGAAGGAAGGAAGGAAGGAAGCAAGGAAGGTGGAAGGAAGGAAGGAAGGAAGGAAGGAAGGAAGGAAGGAAGGAAGGAAGGAAGGAAGGAAGGAAGGAAGGAAGGAGCGTGCATCGCGCGATGACCGCGCATGTCAATGTGACAATGCCCACACTCTGAATGCTGACGGTGGAAGCGATCGGCCTCATCTGTTGCGGCCCCTGCCTAATGTGATCGTTCTCGATCTTTTCAATCAGAGTGGTCGGCCGGGCATGAACGAGTCTTTAAGAGCCTCACGGACTTCGCCATGTCGCGAGTTGCTACGGAGACGAAGAAACAATCCATGTCCTCAGTGCAAACTATCCCAAACTCCTGCTCTTTGACTGCATCGTGTCAGCGGATTAAATCCAGGGCTCCTGCCAAGTGTGCCCATACTGATTGGGCATCATCTTGTCGAAAGCTTTCCACCTCCTCGGAGAGTTTGAATATTTTGAATGTCGCTTGGTTTCCAGTCTTGGCCTCAATGATCGAGACTCTATTTCACTAGGGTGGCGCAGCCCTCGTCCTGACGCAGTGGCACCGCCTGCTCTAGAACTTCCGGCCCTGGCAGGCATGACGTTTGCAACACGGAATTGCCACACGAGGAAGCCCTCTAGTGTCATGGGCTAGCTGACTACCGTTGAGGGCATCTGAAGGCAGAGCAATCTACGCAAAGTATGTCCTTCACATGCACCAGCTGCCCGACGTGATGCTCTGCTGTTCAAAGTCATGACCACAGTTACATGCTGACAGGCTCAAGACATGGTGAAACCCTTTTGGGAGAATTTGCAGGGGCCTGCCCCACAAGCTGCACGCCAGCGCTCGAAACGTTCTCGCCAAGTTCCAAGGAAGTGCAAACCTTGGTGTGTGTTCTCGCAAGGATAGAAACGATTGAGCCGAGCTTTGGCTTTGGGCTTCGTCACAGGCTCTGACGGCTCGCGCGATGAAACTCAGCAACGCTGGCTTGAAGCACGTCCTGCTCCCAGTTTCCGTCGGGAATCATGCATAAACTTCAAGCAACTCAGGCTGGAGTCCTTTGCAGCTGGTGCTGTTTCGGGCAGTGCTTCCATCTTGGGCGGTGCTTCCATCTTGGGCACGTCGTCGCCTTCAAGGTCGTAGCCTGGTTGCTTAGCAAGCGTCCTTGCAGTCTACGCAGAACGACACACCACAGCAGGCCTTCATTTTCAGACTCCGACTCTGTGGGCAGTGGCGACTGCTCCGGGAAGGTCTGGAAAGGCAAAGGCACAAGTCTAAAGCCTCTTGTAAACCATCCGATTAACACTTCCCGAATCCGGCCTCAGGGGCTTCACAGCGTGCTCCGGGCTTGTCGGCGAAGAAGGCGGTTATTCGAGGCCTCAGCAAAGATGGAATGGTCGACAGGTGGGCGGCCGCGCATTGCGAGCTTGCGACCCTTGGTTTTCGACCTGCCAGGCCAATAAGTGCACAGTGCATGGCTCAAGATCAGACATGAGCCTTGATAAAATCTGTAGCTCCCAGTGCCAATCTGCTGCAAGGAAAAGGACAGCTGACCTTCCAAACAGCTGTGACAGGCTGTGACAGGCGCTTCTGTCACGCCCACGAGCTTCAGTACACGAATGCTCGCGGTCGACAAAGCCAGCCAAGGGCCAAACACGTTCTAGCAGAAGCTTTCTTGCCTTGTTTCAGCAAATTGCATGTGAAAGCCATGGCTGCAGACAATCTCGCACGATGAATCAAGACTGCATCCGGGACGCAGTGTCTGCTATGACTCCTACAGGGACTGGCCAGTCTGCTCCTGCGCGCAGCATGCTTGCAGGTGAGATGTAACACGCGACGCAATCTGAGTTCCCATGCTGCAAGCTCACGGCGAAAAGAAGACCAAGATTGGTGTCCGGCGATGCCATCAGCTTTTCTGGTCATGGCACCATTGTATTGAGGAAAGGCCTAGGCAAGGAAGTGCAAGCAGTGCAGCTGGAGCTACACCTCCGTACACCGCATGCACTTTAGGATCTTAGCAAGATAGTGTTGGGTTTTTAGGGGTAGTTTAGGGGGCAACACACAAGCCAACATCTATTGCCAAACATCTATCTGCAGCCGGGCCGCGCAAGATCTACTGACTGTTTTCGTCAGCTCCTGAGTCAACTGTTGCGCAACCCTGCTGAACCTGGTTGTTGCGACTCTTGGACAGGTAAGTGGACTTCTGCACCCTTCTCTGACTTCATCTGACTTCTCTCGTGACGCTTCAGAGCTGGCATGCACACACACACACACATTCCATTCCCCGCCAAGGTCCCTGCAGAAGTGCGCCCTGGCAAAAAAAGTGACTGTCCAAGAGCAGAGGTCTCCAGGTAACACGGGACCATGCCTGCCGTCCAGTTCTTCGCGTGATCCTGATGGACACACTAGACTCTAGTCACTAGACGGTCACTAGACTCTAAGACTGCCCCCGTAGGATCCCGTGAGCGCAGCCATGCTCAGCCCCATCCGCGCTCCGCATCCAGACGTCCGCGATGATGCAAAACGAGCGTTCGGGGCCGACGCGAGGGATCCTTGGTCCGACTTGGTCCGTCTCATTGTTGATGCTGACAGCAGCTGAGAGCAACTTTACTTTTACCCCTTGATCCAAGTCTCATCTTGCAAACGCCCGTGTAGTTCTGCTGAAAGGCTGGCCAGCCACGGGTCTAGATCTGCCATGCCTGCCATCGTGTGCACGTCGCGCAGACGAACGTGGCATACGATGGCCAGCACGAATGACTGAAAAGCACGGGACAGCGATTCTGCGGTCTTTTTTCTCACAAGCGATCATCCGGGAAGGACTTGGTACGCGTCGGTAAAATCCTCCCTTGCAGCAAAAGGTCGTCCATGAAGATGTGGCCGACTTCCGTCCTCAGTCATTGCATCGGCGAGGCTACACATGCTACACCCGATTTGAAGAGGCACCTTGCTTGGCCGACACATTTTCGAGCCCAGTAGACCTAGCGGCCCCACTTCTTCGCAACCTCACCCGTCCGAGGGGTCCACATCCCTCCACCCGTTTCTGACATTCTTATCCGTTTTCTGGATGCTTTCTGGCGTGACCTTGAACAACGAGTAGCCCGTGCGTAAACCCCAGCTTCACTACCGATGTATAGGAAACAACATCTGAAGGCTTTTTGCTCACGGAAAACCTAGAGGTACGCCCGTAGTTGTTCGTAGGTTATGAGCCCAAGGCTCGCTTAGGTAGGGCGCTATGGAGTTTCAGCAGCGGCGGCGACGGAGCACGGATGAAGCGACTGCAGCTACTGAGTTCTTGGCGCTTCCAGGAAGGGATGAGACAGCAGGACAGTCCAGTCAACCTGGTCAGCCACGTCAAGGTGGCGGAGGTGCCATTGCTGGTGATGAGGGTCCGGCGTTGGAGGGGGCCAGGCAGGGGGCTGTGAGTACGAATCCCTTTTGGAGTCAACGAGCGCAAGATGAAGCGCAACTTCGGGCGATGAGACCTCAGGCGTTGACAGATGCGGAAAGAACCAACTCTACGGCTGGGAGTACGTCCACGGAACTCCGGCCAGATCCGAGTGTTGGTTTGGAGGCACGTGCTCGGTTGGTTGAAGCTGGCGGCGAAAGCGGAGTATGCGGTGCAGGGAATGGTTCCTCAGAGGTTGCGGTGGACCATGACCTTCATGGGCATGTTCAATCGCCAGATCTGCCTCATCCAACCCAGCAGGATCTTCCGTTACCTCCTCAGCCATCAGAGCGGCTTGGTATGAGACCAGGGGAACGCTTGGTGGTAGAACAAATGAAGGATCTTCTTGTAGATCTGTTTGAACAGAACAGGGTGATACTTGAGGGTCAGAGTGCACTTCGGAGCAGGTTGGATAGGGTTGAAAATGATGCTATGCAGTCAGCGTCTTCGGGCGGTGATCGGGAAGTCCAGGATGAAGCTCAGAAGGGCAGTGATCGAGGGGAAGGATTTAGGAGCATTTTGGAGGGAAACCACGGAGTTTGGAATTCAGGGGGGTCGGGTTACCTGGGCAGGTATGTCTCTCTTGAAGAAAGAGGGTCGTGGGAATATCGCGCTGGTTTGGAGGAAGGCATTCGTCGAGCTACGGAAGCCATGCGAGCGAGGGAAGGGCTTAGGGTTGAGCGTGCTCAAAGTCCCCCACCGCCTCCTCCACCCAGAGACGAACCCCCCACTACTCCAAATGGAACGAGGGTGCCGCTTGGTACTCCCCCTCAAACGCCCACTCCAAAGTTTGGATCTTCTCATTCGTCTTTTGGGGCAGGTGTGTGTGAGACAGGGGATAGGACGCCTCAGGGACAGCTGGCAGGGAGCTCTGATTGGTTCTCACTTGCTGGGCAAGATGACAGGTTGCGAAGTCCATTGAGCCCTTCTTCAGGATGGGGTGTCTTTGGGGTTCCAGGGGTGACGGGGTATGATCCTCGGAGATCGGGCTTGCATGGTGTGGATAATGCGGGGCCGCCTGCGTTTGCAGCTCCAGCTGGGACGTTTGGTTCTGCGGTAGATTCACCTAGGGGTGGGGGTAGAAGCCCTTACACGCCAGGGGACCGTACGTGGTGGAAGTTGCCCAACCTGCCTGACCCGAGCACTGAGGATGCATGCATAGCCGTATCAGACTGGCTGACGCAGATTAAACCCATCATGAGTGATTTGTCGGAGCGTAGTTGGATTTGGTGGGCACGGGTTATGGAAGTGGCGCAGGCTGCTTATGCTAAGTGGCAGCAAGCAGGACCGCTTGAAAAGTCACTTGTGATTTGCGAGTCGCCTGCCGATTTGCTTGATGCTAAGCTGTCCAGACTCGAGGCGAGAGCGCTTGGCATGATCATGGAAAGCTTACCAGCGCGGATCAAAGATGAACTGGTTGTTACCAAGTCTCTTACGTGCGCGAACGCCATATATAGAATACTGCTAGCATTCCAGCCTGGAGGACTAGGTGAGAGACATAAGTTACTTCAAAACCTGTCTGATCCGGGTCAAGCAAGTTCAGCTCGGCAGTGTTCAGATCAACTGCGTCGTTGGCATAGGTGGCTGGGACGGTCACAAGATCTCGGCGTGTCTCCTCCTGATCCAGCAATTCTATTGTCAGGTCTTGATAAGTTGTGTCAGGGCGTCCTTGCAGCTCACACTCAGCTAAGCTTTAGATGCAACATTTCTAGAACGCAGCATCAACTTGACTTTTGCCCTACAGTTGCTAGTGTGACGGCATATGCTCGACTTCTTCAAGCAGAAACTGAAACGCTAGCATTGTCGGGTGCTGATGTTGATGTAGACTCCGAGGGCCCAAAGCCTACAAAGAAGCAACGAGCTGCCGCTCTTCGTAAGACTGAAGCAGCTGCCAAGGCCGCTGCAAAAGGGGGAGGTGCGGCAAGTGCCACGTCACCCGGGCAGCTTCCAGCTGAAATCCCTGCTGGTCCTACTTCAGAATCTCCGTCCGTTGGGGGATCCGGGAAAGGGGGTCAGGGACAGGGCAAAACGGGTGGGGGGCAAGGAGGCGGGAAGGGTCCGTGTCGGTTTTACTCAACAAAAGGGGGATGCAAGATGGGTCGAACCTGTTGGTCCGCTCATGATTTCGGAAAGGCTTCAGCCGAAGGTCGTTGCTTCACGTGTGGCTCTACTGAACATCGCCAAGACGCATGCTCTAGGCCTCAAGGTAAGCGAGGTGGAAAGGGCGAGGATGCTCCTCGGGGGGAGTCTTCGGGGTCGGGGCAGGGCGCAGGTTCTGGAGGAAAGAGCGCTCAAGGGGGCGGCGGAAAAGCAGAAGCCAAGGGTGCGCATGTTCGGCAAGCAAATGTGGAAGGTGGGACTGGGGAAGCCTCAGGGAATGCAGGAAGTGGGGACGCGGCCAAGGCATCCGGAAAATCAGCAGAGGCCTCTTCGCAAGAACTCCTCGCGGAAGCTGCGAAGCTCTTGAAAGGGTTCAGGGTTGCCGCGGTCAAGGTTGATGCAGATCTGTGTTCTGGAGACGACTCCGGTGAAAATGACAGGGATTCCGAGCAGCCGTACTTGACAAAAGTGGTGCAGAATCCTCCCAAGAATGCCCGAGGGCTACTGGACGGAGGCGCTACAAATGCGTTGCGGGCTGCTAGAAACCCTCAAGAACTGAGTTGTTGCACTGTCACGGATGTGTCGTTGGCTTTGGGAAAGGTTCGGCTCCACTTAAGCCCAGTAGGAACGCTTTTGTCAGCTGAACCAGTGGCTCCTATAGTTCCTATGGGTGTTTTGGCAGCAGAGTTAAGCTGCAAGGTGCACTGGGAGGGAGAAACTTGCGAGGTTATCCACCCGACTAGGGGAAGGCTTCCGATTGTGATGGTGAATCGCTGTCCTGAATTGTGTGCCAAACTCACTGAAGATTTGATCTTTGAAATTGAGGACAAACGGGCTAAAGTCCTTCAAAGGGCCCTTAAGCTCAAGGAATTAGCACTTTCAGGCAACAATGCCCCACAGGAAGAGTCGATAGGGGATCAACGTGATGCTTGGGTGGTTCCGATGCTCGAGTGGCTAAGAAAACTGAGTCCTGATTGCCCTGAAGGTCTGTTGGCTCGGGTACCTCCCAGTTGGAGTGAAGCTCCTAAAGGTGAGGATTTGCCCCTAAATCGAAGGGTTCGCAGAAGCGTTGATAGAGCTGAGCATGTTGTTCTTCACCTCTTTGCTGGCAAAACCAAAACTCGGGACTTCGGACACCTTCCTAGTTCTGTTTATGTTTTGTCCATCGACCTCGAGCAAGGAGCAGACTTGTTGTCAGAGCCTCTATTTAGGTACCTTTGTGATTTGTGCATGTCAGGAAGGGTCATAGCGGTCATAGGAGGGCCGCCGTGCGCCACCACTTCTAGACTTAGGGAAAGGAGCGAGTGGGATGGGGGGCCGCGAGTTTTGCGGGACAGGGATGGGCCTGGCCGCTTTGGAAGAACGAGTGAAGGCGCTCGACTCTCGAAGGATGAGCAGCGTGTCGTGGATGGACATACAGTGTTGTACTTCCGCATGTTCCTGCTACATCACATTGCCCATGAAAGTTCCCCAGAAGGTGTGTTGTTCGTGTTGGAACATCCAATGGATCCATGCGAGTACTTGTGTGATGGCAAACCTCATGCTAGTTTGTGGGCATGGCCTGAGATTGAACTTCTAGAAAAAGAAAAGGGAATGCTGAGGGCGAGTTTCTCTCAAAGTAGTCTTGGGCACTGCGTCCGAAAACCCACATGTCTCCTAACGAACGACTGGTCGCTCTATTCCGTGTTGCATATGCGTCACGAGGGCCAGGTGTCAAGGGTGGAACAATCCGAGGACTTGCGTTTGCGCATGCATCAATCGCGACAGTGGGCTAAATGGGCTGCGGGATTAGCCTTAGCTATTGGGCGGGCCATAGACGCGTGGGTTTGCACGCCTGCGCTGGAACGTCAAAGGGTCATGCTAGATCAACAGGCTCACATCAGGGCACTCTCCAAGGATGAAAAGGCCTTTGTAGAACACTGCGAAAGGGATCATTTGGGTTACCGCAGGGATTGCAACATCTGTTTGTCAAGTAGCGTGCGAGGCCATTCCCACGTTCGACAAAAATACCCTTATCGTAACGCCTTTACCCTCAACGTAGACCTCATTGGGCCCCTCGCACAGGGTGAAGACCAACTGGGCGCTGCTAAGCATCTGTTGGTTGGGGTTCTGGGGGTTCCTCTGTTTAAGGACGGTCGTCCCAGGCCGCTTTCCAAGGAGCGTGAGGCTGCAGAGGGGTATGAAATACCCACTGAGTGGTTCGCGGAGGACGAGGTCGAGCCGAGGACTCTTGCGACAGACGATCTTTTTGCGGGGGAGTCGGGCGAGGGTATTGCTTCTGTTGAGGGTGTTGAGGGCGCGGAAGACGTTGGGGGTTTGGATCCTCATTGGAAAGACCGGGCGG